AGGGAAAACCAACCAAATCCAATGGCTTTTCAAACTTTTCTGCAATTCATATGGATATAATGGGTGAGTTTCCCACATGAAAATCTGCTCAAATCATATATTTTCCACCATTTTTGATGCAAAACATAGCAGATAATCACATTGAATCACCATGAAAATCCCCATGTAATCGCAGCGGCTACAACCTGGTTACGAACTGGTTCTACTGGTTTTTAAATTCCTCTGGTAAACATACAAAAAACGATGGAATATCACCATTCTTAAAGGGTAAATCGACTATAAATGGCCATTTTCAATAGCAAACTGTTAAATTAGCAGAGGGTATGAATATTCCAATGAATTGTAAATTTGACTTGCTGATGGTTGCTTCAGTGGAGCATCACTCAGTCTCTGCGTCTGAAACAAAACCGCCCTGACGTAACGCTCCCTTTTGAATAGGTTAGTGGAACCACAATGACACTGCTCATTGTAGACTGGTTGGTGGTATACCTACCCCTCTGAAAAATATGAGTTCGTCAGTTGGGATGATTATTCCCAATATATGGAAAAACAAAACATGTTCCAAACCACCAACCAGTAGATCATTGGAGAAAACCATCAATTTCAATAGCTATGCTTACTCCTGGGTAGAACCCTTTTTTTTCGACGATTTTTGATGGTGAATCCTCTCCGATCACATCAAGAATCTCCATCCAAACACTCATTCGTAAAATTCATCCGCTGTCGTTCCATCAAATATTATATTAGTTTCAATATAAGGTTCCATCCATCACATTAATCATACATCTAGTTTCGATATGTTTTGGGATACATCGGGATATGATGGTTGATGGTTATACGAACAATCATACCCTTGAAAAAGGGCCTGGTAAATGTTCTAAAAGTTTCACATCACCTACAAAAAACGGGGATGTTATGATATAATCTCCACCAGATACTTTTTCAAGTGATTTTCAAAATCCCAAAAGGGACATTTACCAGCCCTGGAATATCTGGCTTTTTGTCGGGTTTTTGGGGTGAAATAGTGACATATTTTGGGATATATTTGTATATATAGATATAACCAACAATGTGAAATGTGACGATTTTGCAGCAGGTCTCCAGTAGATTCCCCACATGGATCGATTATGATGGTTAGACACACAAATATTCACCCATTTACATAGAGAACATGTTCCGCTCTCCGTTCATTATAGTTATAACGGTTATACACACTATTCATCCCTATATCACATGAATATGAATACTTTTTAACCCAGATATCCATTGTTATGATTATGACACACTCAATGTTAAGTATAATAGTTCTGAACCCAAAATCAATATTGAATGATGGTTTTACAGGTTGTACATCAATATTAATTTGTAAAGGTTCCCCAGGAGGATTAATTGTGATGCTTATACCTCAACAATCCATGCCATGCACAAGGGTTGGTACATGTTCCAATGAAACATCACGCAAAAAAGGGGCATTATGATATAATCCCAAACCACTACTCATCCCATTTAATGTTAGTAGATGTTAGTAAAGCATAGGAAACCATCCCGAATCTCATCATTTTTGGCTCGGCTCACCCTCCAAGGGTTCTATGAATGATGGTGACCCCCTAAGAAGTATGATTGAACACTAAGATATTCATAATTTATGATGAAGTATATGATGATACATGTATATATGATATATTCATCATAGATGATTTTCAATTATGATCAAAGGAAGTTTAGTGGGAGAAACTTCCGTGTTACGGACTTTTAGAATGTCAAAGAAAGAGTTAGTCAAAGAAAGAGTTAGTCAAAGAAAGAGTTAGTCAAAGAAACAGTTAGTCAGGGAAAGAGTTAGTCAAAGAAACAGTTAGTCAGGGAAAGAGTTAGTCAAAGAAAGAGTTAGTCAAAGAAAGAGTTAGTCAAAGAACAGTTAGCCAGGGAAAGAGTTAGTCAAGGAAAGAGTTAGTCAGGGAAAGAGTTAGTCAAAGAAACAGTTAGTCAGGGAAAAAGTTAGTCAAAGAAAGAGTTCGTCAAAGAAAGAGTTAGTCAAAGAAAGAGTTAGTCAGGGAAAGAGTTAGTCAAAGAAACAGTTAGTCAGGGAAAAAGGTAGTCAAAGAAAGAGTTAGTCAGGATATAAGAGGTAGTCAAAGAAAGAGTTAGTCAAGGAAAGAGTTAGTCAAAGAAACAGTTAGTCAGGGAAAAAGGTAGTCAAAGAAAGAGTTAGTCAGGATATATGAGGTAGTCAAAGAAAGAGTTAGTCAGGATATATGAGGTAGTCAAAGAAAGAGTTAGTCAGGAAAGAGTTAGTCAAAGAAACAGTTAGTCAGGGAAAAAGGTAGTCAAAGAAAGAGTTAGTCGGGATATATGAGGTAGTCAAAGAAAGAGTTAGTCAGGATATATGAGGTAGTCAAAGAAAGAGTTAGCAAAGAAAGAGTTCGTCAGGGAAAGGGTTAGTCACAGAAAGAGTTAGTTAGGGCATTGATTGTTCCCGCAATGCAAATGGGATTGCAAGTGGTGCTGGTGGATGAGTTGCCGATGGAGTTGTGAAGGAAGTCTCGCACGAAATGCGTTTTTGAGAGAGCAGATGCACGAAACCCTATGTTTTTCCATACAAAGTGCGTCCCCGAACCTCGATGATCTACCTCTGCGGTGCGACGGGTGCGAGACGGTCTCGTGTGTGGTCGGATCATGGGCGGATCATGGTCGGATCGGTTCCGCATTGTAAATGGGGTTTCAACTGTGTTTCGTCTATGTGCGGTCGACAGAATTCCATTGTGATTTGCAACTGTAGGATCGTTCCCGAAATGGTAAATGGGATTGCAAGTGGTGCTGGTGGATGAGTTTCTGATGGAATTCCATTGTGATTTGCAACTCTAGGATCGTTCCCTCACTGTAAATGGGATTGCAAGTGGTGCTGGTGGATGAGTTGCCGATGGAATTGCATTGTGATTTGCAAGTCTAGGATCGTTCCCTCCCTGTAAATGGTTGCGTCAAGGTTCCTTCGTGCTGTGGCTGCATTGGTAATACTATTGTCTTTTGCAGCTGGACTTCGTAAATCGTATTGGAGTGGCTGCATGAAGGCTGCGACATTGATTTATCAGCAGATTTTCTCCATTTTGGCGCCAGTGATTTTCTTTTTAAAAATTCTTTTAAAAAGTGTTTCAAAATCGTCTTTTTTTCGCTCTGGCGTCGAGATCCGGTTTTGGAGCTACAATTTCCGACGCCGTTGTGCGTAGTTCTATTGTGTTTTGCAACTCAGTCTCTGCAGATCGCATTGTAATGGCTGCGTCAAGGTTGCTTGGTGCCGCGGCTGCATGCGCAATACTATTGTCTTTTGCAACTGGACTTCGTAAATCGTATTGGAGTAGGTGCATCAAGGGTTCGACAGTGATTAGTAGTAGTGCTGGGAATTGATTAATGAAAGCTTAATAGATGACATATGAGAAGGGACGAAATGAGAAGAGATGAGCTGGGATAAGGTGAGAAGAGCTCAGATGAGATGAACTGTGGAGTGTGAAGAGTGTAGTGTGAAATGTGGGGCGTGAAGAGTGCAGTGTGAAGTGTGAAGTGTGAAGTTTGGAGTGTGAAGGAAGCAGTGAGAAGTGAGAAGTGTGAAGTGTGGACTGTGAAGTGTGGAGTGTGAAGTTTGGAGTGCAAAGAGTGCAGTGTGAAGTGTGGAGTGTGAAGAGTGCAGTGTGAAGTGTACAGTGTGAAGGAAGCAGTGGGAAGTGAGAAGTGTGAAGTGTGGAGTGTGAAGTTTAAGTTTGGAGTGCGAAGAGTGAGTGTGAAGTGTGAAGTGTGAGGTTTGGAGTGTGAAGGCAGCAGTGAGAAGTGAGAAGTGTGAAGTGTGGACTGTGAAGTGTGGAGTGTGAAGTGCGAAGTGAGAAGTGTGAAGTTTGGAGTGTGAAGGAAGCAGTGAGAAGTGTGAAGTGCGAAGTGAGAAGTGTGAAGTTTGGAGTGTGAAGTTTGGTGTGGGAAGGAAGCAGTGAGAAGTGAGAAGTGTGAAGTGTGGACTGTGAAGTGTGGAGTGTGAAGTGCGAAGTGAGAAGTGTGAAGTTTGGAGTGTGAAGGAAGCAGTGAGAAGTGAGAAGTGTGAAGTGAGAAGTGTGAAGTGTGGACTGTGCAGTGTGGAGTGCGAAGAGCGCAGTGTGAAGTGTGAAGTGTGAAGTGTGAGGTTTAGAGTGTGAAGGAAGCAGTGAGAAGTGTGAAGTGTGGACTGAAGTGTGAGTGAAGTGTGGAGTGTGAAGTGCGAAGTGAGAAGTGTGAAGTTTGGAGTGTGAAGGAAGCAGTGAGAAGTGAGAAGTTTGGAGTGTGAAGGAAGCAGTGAGAAGTGTGAAGTGTGGACTGTGAAGTGTGAAGTGTGAGTGAAGTGTGGAGTGTGAAGTGCGAAGTGAGAAGTGTGAAGTTTGGAGTGTGAAGGAAGCAGTGAGAAGTGAGAAGTTTGGAGTGTGAAGGAAGCAGTGAGAAGTGAGAAGTGTGAAGTGAGAAGTGCGAAGTGTGAAGTGTGAAGTGTGAAGTTTGGAGTGTGAAGGAAGCAGTGAGAAGTGAGAAGTGTGAAATGTGAAGTGTGAAGTGTGAAGTTTGGAGTGTGAAGGAAGCAGTGAGAAGTGAGAAGTGTGAAATGTGGAGTGTGAAGTGCGAAGTGAGAAGTGAGAAGTGTGGACTGTGAAGTGTGAAGTGTGAAGTGTGGACTGTGAAGTGTGAAGTGTGGACTGTGAAGTGTGAAGTGTGCAGTGTGAAATGTGAAGTTTGGAGTGTGAAGGAAGCAGTGAGAAGTGAGAAGTGTGAAATGTGGAGTGTGAAGTGTGAAGTGTGAAGTTTGGAGTGTGCAGTGAAGTGAGAAGTGTGACTGTGAGAGTGTGGAAGTGTGAAGTGTGGACTGTGAATTGTGAAGTGTGAAGTGTGGACTGTGAAGTGTGAAGTGTGCAGTGTGAAGTGTGAAGTGTGAGGTTTGGAGTGGGAAGGAAGCAGTGAGAAGTGAGAAGTGAGAAGTGTGGAGTGTGAAGTGTGGAGTGTGAAGTGTGGAGTGTGAAGTTTGGAGTGCGAAGAGTGCAGTGTGCAGTGTGAGGTGTGAGGTGTGGAGTGTCGAGGGAAGGACACGGTCGGGACAGGTTGTCTTTGAACTATAGGTCATTTATGTTTGGGAAACTTCCGCCGCCGGCTTGCCCGGGTCTATGTTATTTATCATTATTTGGAATAGTACATGTACCATAAAATCATCATTTGGAACCACTGGTTATACAGCAATGGTGATCCCCAAGCAATCCCTATTTCATGATATACATAATCATGAGCATGATACGCTCAATTAGAACTCCTTTTAACCATGAACAAATATTACTGTTGGAGGAAATCTCTAATCAATATTAGTCAATAGACCAATATTTGTCCCCATTTGGAGGTTTCATAAAATAGGGGTACCCTCAAATCATCCATGTTATTTTCGGATTTTCCATTCTAAACGGTACACTAATATTGATGATTGTTGATCAATATCATAGATGATTTAATATTCATCATCAACTGGTGATCCCAATTAATATGATACATCAAAAAAAACGTATGATATATCTATCCCTATTTCTGTCGCTTCTTCCATTCATTGGTTATCCCACAGGATGGTGCCCCCCAGTGATGTTTGTTGGTTTATAAACCCCATGAATACTAGTTCGTTATATCTGCCATAAACCATAGTGAAATGGGAGTTATGTTCACCAACTTAGCGAACAAACTGGGGCACCACCTTGTAGGTATACCACCAACCAGATGTTAATGATATATATATATATGTATATTAGAGGTTTATATATATATATATCCCATTCATTGCATCCCCTGGCACCTCTGGCAGCTCTCAGCGCCGCCAACGCGGTCTCCGATTTGGAGCTCCGCGTGCCGCGGGAGCTGCGCGCCTTTTCCACGCCAGCCGTGGAGGCGCCTGGGGACCCGGTGATCGAAACGGGAGTTTTCCCCACGAAAAATGGGGTTAAAGTCTGAGAATTCCTGATTTTTGTAGAGGAACCCCCATATTTCATGGGATTTTCTGGGTCAAAAATGGGATAGAAGTATTGAAGATGAGGATTTTCTATGACTTTTATGTTTATTTTGTAGGTATCTGGCTGGTGGTTTCCCAAAAGGATTCTTCGTCAATTTGGAGAATCATCCCAAATTTGGATAAAGAATGCTTGAAACTACCAATGAGGATGTAACTATTGAACATGAAAATTTTATCACTAAAATAATGGATAGGTATGTTTACCACATCAAATAATCAAACATCGGGATATTACTATTGAACATTCGTGGGTGATTATGGTATGGCTTGGCTTTTTTTCACATTAACAGATATCGAAAGTTGGGAAGAAACAACTTTAGATATCTTTAGATGATTTTACCACTAAAGTATGGGATGAATTTGGAGTGTGAACAAAATATGGGATGAATTTGGAATGTGAACCAAGAAAAGATGGGGATTTAAACGCCTCAAATGGGAATGTGGGAGCGCAAGAAAAAAGTCCCCTGGGTCCATGACACAAAAAGGGCAGTTCAGACTTGCTAAGTGTATTGGTTTATCATATGGTACCATAATGAAAGCTCCAGCATAGACGGGTGAACTACTAAATGGTTATACACTTAATGTCCTTTTGGTAAAAATAGAAAGGCCGGGAGCTGGCTTCATCATCTATCATCATTTACCTGTTGTTGAAGGGGATTGTTAAACCCCTCTATTAATCAACCAACCAATGGGAAAAGGGCATCTCTGGTTATACACTTGGTTATACACAAAATCTTAATTATGATGGTGAATAGTCCAATAATCCATCCCATTGATCTTTGAGATAGGGAAAATACTAGCATACCCCGTAGCATAGATAGGTGAATTACTATTAAGTACTATTCACCAGCCATTAGACATTTACCATCAAGAGACGAATACCAGTACTATTATACACCAGTATGCATTCAGTTTATAGACCAATGGTTATAAATATGATACACCTAATTATGGTCCTACACTTAATATTAATCATGACAGTTCTACCTCAGTAGCTTCAATATTGTAATGGTTTTACACCATTGGTAGCCGTTAAACCTCATTATCCATATCACTATAGACACCTTTTTTATGGGTGAATACACACAGATGATTATCCATATTCACTTTTCTTTGGCACCACTTTTTATTAATATCCACTTTCACCTTTTTATTGATGATTCTGGGCAAATTATAATAATTCACTAACCTGAATTAAGGCCATTTGGGAATGATTTCCCTTATTAACCATGAATTCCAGTGAGGGAGAACAGTGAGGTCGTGATGAAATTTACCCAGGATGATGGTTATCAATGAAAGTCGTGAATAGCCAGTGATTTTCTGATTTTCCACCTGGGGATGACGTGATTTTTTAACCATTCTGGCCATGGCCAGGTCCCAGGTCCCCAGTTGCAAGCTGATGTATTCATTCCATGGTACCCATAGAAACTCGTTCGTGAAATATGGGGGGTTCCATAGCTTTTTGGGATACCCAAAAATAGATGCTTTATTTCATGGAAAATCCTGGAACATTTCATAAATGGATGAGAACTGGGGGTACCCCTATGGCTTGGAAACCTCCATGTGATGTATAGTCCATTATTTCTGTAGAGAATTCACCAATGGGGGACTTACTAACCAGGCTTATAATACTATATATATAATATATATATATGTCTACCATAATAAACCCAAGAGTGAAAGAGGAGGTACCCCCAAGAGCCAAACATCCATCATCATCCTCATAGGGAAATCCAACCATGACTGGATGATCTTGAGGTACAACCAATGGTTATTAACCAATATTAACCATTATCAACTATTCTTAACCATTATGAAAACCAATATTAACTATTACTAACCATTATGAAAATCTATATTCACCAACATTAACTATTACTAACCATTATGAAAGCCACTATTAGTACTTTTATATTAATAATAATGGTTTATCAATAGTTATTAACTATTGCTAACCAGTATTAACCATTATCAACTATTATTAACCAGTATGAAAACCAATATTAACTATTACTAATTATTATTACAAACCAGTATTACTAACCAGAATTAACCACTAACCATTAGTCACCAGTATGAAAACCACCAGGAAAAACACCATTACTCACTTTCGGAAGTTCATCTGTCCATATTGTGGGAAGTTTGACTTCTAAACTTCCTTCGATTATTAACATTTATTAACCATTATCAACTATTATTTACCATTATGAAAACCAATATTAACTATTACTAACTATTATGAACACCACTATTAGTACTTTTATATTAATAATTATGGTTTATCAATAGTTATTAACTATTACTAACCAGTACTAACCATTATCAACTATTATTAACCAGTATGAAAACCAATATTAACTATTACTAATTATTATTACAAACCAGTATTACTAACCAGAATTAACCACTAACCATTAGTCACCAGTATGAAAACCACCAGGAAAAACACCATTACTCACTTTCGGAAGTTCATCTGTCCATATTGTGGGAAGTTTGACTTCTAAACTTCCTTCGATTATTAACATTTATTAACCATTATCAACTATTATTTACCATTATGAAAACCAATATTAACTATTACTAACTATTATGAAAGCCACTATTAGTACTTTTATATTAATAATTATGGTTTATCAATAGTTATTAACTATTGCTAACCAGTATTAACCATTATCAACTATTATTAACCAGTATGAAAACCAATATTAACTATTACTAATTATTATTACAAACCAGTATTACTAACCAGAATTAACTCACCATTATTAACCACTATCAAAAACCACCAGGAAAAGTGAAGACCCACTAATTTGATGATTATTTTCCAATATTATTGGTATAGCCAATGGTTCTTAACCAATATGAAAACCACTATGAAAACCACCAGGAAAAACACCACATAGCCAGCCCAGGTCACCAGCCTATCGTTCCAGCTGGAGCTTTGGCCATGGTCTCCAGCACGGAGGACAAGCGTCCAATGGGCCCGCGGGGTGGAGCCGGTGCAGGCGCTGTCGGCATCGCAGGCATCGCAGGCATCGCTGCCTCGGGGGGCCGGAAACCATGGGGATTTTGATGGGATTTCTAGGGATTTATAAGGATTGACACCCTCTGGTAATTTGTTACATAACTGATGGGAAAGATCCACCATGCTATTCATGGGAAAACTCACTATTTCGACTGGGCCATTTTCAATCGCTATGTAACAAATTACCAGAGGGTATATCGTTTTTTTTTGATACGACATTGGATATTAGATGGGCAATGGGGTTCCAATATATTCCAATGGGATTTCATTTTTTTGAATGGATATTATGGGATATATATCCAATATATTGTTCCAATTGGCTATTATATATCATTTCCAAGATATTATGGGATATATATATATACCCCAATATATTCCAATGGATATTCTTATAAAAAAATCTTCAAGGGGATATCATGGAGATATGGGCTTCGATCCCACGACTTGAGCGCCGGGCCTTTGGACCTGTCGCGTGGCAGGTCCGAGGGACTGCAGGATGACCACGAATTTTTCACCACGAATTTTTCGGGGATGAATTTGGCCAAACTCCATTAACCCCAACAGGATGGTGCCCCCCAGTTATAAGTTGGTTTATCAACCCCATTAACTATAGTTATATCTGCCATAAACCATAGTTATGGGAGTTATAAACCAACTTAGCTAACTATGGGGCACCACCTTGTAGGGCTACATTCTCCTTTTTACCCAGTTGGTCGCTCCTGAGTCGAAGAATTGACCAAGTCCAACCTCTATGATCCTTGCAGTTCTCATCTCAGACCATGTGTAGTTCCCTTAGTGAGTTTCAACAAAGGGGTGCCTATCTCCCAAATTCGTTAGCTAGTCATTTTTCATATGGGTCTGCCAATTCAGGGGAAAACCACCAAATTCCATGATCAATCATCAGTTATCTCTATTCAAAATTGCCATAACTGGGATAATGTAGTAAACCCAATACCCTCTGGTAAACTAACATAACTATGGAAAATCACAATTTTTAATGGGAAAATCCACTATAAATGGCCATTGTCAATAGCTATGTTCGTTTACCAGAGGGTAATAAACTGTCCCGCTAACCAACCATAAAAAGGGTCATTTTAAATCATCCCAGGAAAATAGGGGAAACAAGCCAATTTCACAAACCTCTATGACTGGGATGGTTTATTTTTGGATTTACCACATAAATCTATTTACCAACTAGTTAGCTATATATATATATATTCTCCCTACATTCCCGATACATCCCCATTACACTCCATTGTTGGCTTTGGCTTCTTATTGGGTTTACCGGTTTACGATCTCATCAGCACTTTTCATGGCCTTTTTTCCCATGCTGCCTTGGGAACTCTTGCCCTGGAAATCCATGCCTCAAATGGCAAGAAAAACAGAATGTCTAATCTGGTCCATCTGGTCGGTGGTATACCTACCCCTCTGAAAAATGATGGAGTTCGTCAGTTGGGATGATTATTCCCAATATATGGAAAAAATGTTCCAAACCACCAACCAGCTAATTGAATATTGTTTTCAAAACCTTCCATTTTCAATAAAAATTGGGGGAATGAACCTCCATGAATCCCAGCAATTTGGAACTATTTTGGGTACAGTTTGGTGAAGCAACCGCCAATTGGAAGATATTGGTAGCGTCAAGATCCAAGTCAACCGTCGTGTGTCCGTGGGTTTCTGAGGCTTCTGCGCTGACTCTTGAAGTGCAAGCTAGGATTCCTCCTTCAGGATGGCGCCACCGTTGCTATTGGGAAGTGACATTGATGCAGTGGTACCCTCCAAAATAGCTATTGCTCATGGATGTTCAAATTCAAATTTTATTGGGAACAAACAAACAGATTTTGAGCCATCCCCATATCCAGTTTCTTCATCCTCATGCTGGACGTCGAGCTCTTGCCAACCTCAGGTTACGGTTACCCGCCCGCGTCGTGAGTCGCTCAACAATCCCCATGCGTTTAGACTGGGATGGAACGTTTAAAGTTTTCATTGGGACAATGAAAGCATATGAACACCATGAAAACGAGTGGATGAACATCAGTTTCCCAATCAGAACTAACTTGAAAACTCAGAATCCCCTGGTTGACGATCCATGTTCACAGATTCTTCAAGTGGCACAAAAAATGTGATCCACCAAATTTTTCGGACACTTAATGGACTTTTCAGGAGCAAAATGGACGTTTACTGTACCCAAGCCATACTCTTGGGGCATCTCCCCTTACATAGCCCTTGCATAGGTCTTATACACGGTAGGTACCTCCAATAAATCCGTAATTACCTGGAATGGTAATTGCATTTTATACCAATGAGAAAAGCCACTTTTTCTACTCATTATATTGGCCATGATATAGCTGTGATATAGCCATTAATAGCTACGATTTCATAGCTCATCTGAGGCCCAACTGCGCGGTGCCGCGCGTGTTGCTTCAGCGTGTTGCTGAGTTTCCAACGGATTTCGCAGGAGTCGATTGCAGGGACCCGGGAGAAGTGAAGGAAGGGGACCTCGCGACGTCGTCCGACGTCGTCCGACGTCGTCCTTGTGATATGATGATCTGATGGGGAGTTCATGGGAAAGGCATCAATGGGAATATAACGAGAATATCATGGGAATGGGAACATCATCTGGTTGGTGGTATACCTACCACTCTAAAAAATGATGGAGTTCGTCAGTTGGGATGATGACATTCCCAATATATGGAAACAAATAAAAAAATGTTCCAAACCACCAACCAGTTATAGTTATATTCTTCTCTATAAAACCAAGAATATGATGATATAATGGGGAGTAAATGCTGATATATGGGGGCATGAATGTTTAACCATCAACACCTGGGTATTTGATGGATTTTAATGGACTTTAATGGGATTCATTTTGGGAGTTGATGGGAATATAAATCAGCCCTTACATCACCAGTCATAGCGAGAATACCATTTGTAGAGAATAAGATCACCATTACAGAGAATGTCAATAATAATAAATGGGAATCTCATGGGAACATAATGGTTATATTATTCTCTATCAAACCAACAATAATAGTGGGAATGATATCATGGGGATATACTGGGAATGTATTTGATATTATATGTATTTCTACTGCATAATGATATCATGAGTAGCAGAAATCATGATATCAGTTACTCAGTTGAGTTACCCCTATGAAACCAACAAGACCAAGAAGAATGGGAATGTCATTGGAAAAAATCGATGTTGGACACCCTCCAGTAGACTAACTTAGCAAGATGGAAGCCACTTTCTGGAGAGTTACCCCCCATAAAACCAAGAATAGAATGAACATACACAGATTACTCATTGACTACTTAAAAAAAAAGAACATGTCGGATATGCGAGACGATGTGATTTTTTTCGCTATTTTTTGGATCCAAAAATTCGATCCATGGCTCGCTTGGTTGAGGACCGGACGGAATTGCTCCGGTATCAGGAGCCAGATTGCTTTGCAAATGCAGCTCCTTCTCGAGTCCCTCCTGGAGCTGGCTGATTTTTTTAGGGAGGTCTGGCTGGTGATTTCATGCTGGATTTCATGGTGATTTAATGACAGAACATCCATGGAGGTTTCCTCATTGGGATACTCCCCATCCAAGTCATGGACCGAAGATGTGAAGCAGAGACGCAGAGAAAACAATGCACCGGATACGCGATACGCTCGTGATGTGAAAATAGTTTCAAAGACTAACATAGCCATATGATTCCAGATTTTTCCAAACAGAGACAAGAAAAAAATGCGTGACTCGTCGAAAACAGACTTCCAATACACATCCATTCAACAACCGGAACGTCCATTAATCCTATCCCTTTAATATTATCAATATCATTCTTGTTGCTTAATCATGATTATCATGTTTACCATTAAACACATCCATTAAAAACATTAACAAGGTTGCTGCCAACACCCCAGGTACAAGGGGGGGGCAACTGGGTAGATAAAGAGGGAAATGGAGGTACTGTACCATATAAGGCCATATTTTGTGGGGATATTCCCTTACATAGGCCTGATATGTGGTAGGTACCTCCAATAAATCGGTTCCTGAGTCATGGCCATTGAGTAGATAAAGAGGCAAAAAAAAATAACCCACAGAGGATTGGGGTCCTATGGGTACCCCCGAAGTTCTCATCCACAGATGATCATGCTTGATGGCATTAATAATGGTTAATAACTAATGGTTATTATGAATGAATCATGTTATTTTCGGATTTTCCATAAACATTTATAAACCATCCAATGCTCGCTTGGGGTACCCTCTGGTAATTTGTCACATAGCTATTGAAAATACCACATTTATAGTGGATTTTCCCATAAAAAATAGTGGATTTTCCATAGCAAACTGTTGGTTTACCAGGCCGGTACCCCCATTTTCCGACATGGAACCCCCCCATAGAAATCCAGCACCCTTCGCCTCGTTTGCCGCCGCGCGGATCTGTTGCCGAAGCTCGTTCACCACCTGAAGTCCCAAATTTTCCATGGCTATCTGGGTGATTTACTGGAATATCATGGCATAGTTACATGAGTTTGTCTGAAAATAGGGTATATTCCCAATGAAATAGCCATTTAATAGGGATAATGATCATTAACCATTGGGTTTAGGGGTACACTATTTTCAGACACACCCACATAGTTTTTTTATTTTTAATGAAAGATCATGGACACCTTTTTCACGATAACATGCCATGGCTATTTTTTTTCTCTGATTTTTACTGATGTTGTTTCTTCCTCTTCCAGTTTTCCTTCACGTGTTCGCCGCCTGCTGATGTTGTGCCCTTCGTCTTTCTTGCTCCTGCCGAGCAAAATGCTCGAGATGCTCAAACGATCATCACTACACACCACAAAATCAAACCTTTAATGTTGCTAATGGTTAGCAATAATGTCATTATCAACATCAACAAACATATAATGATATTATCATTATGTGGTTTGATAGGCAACAAACAATATCAACATCAACAAACATACATTATGTCATTGTCAATGGCCTTTTTGTCATGGGTTAATGGTGATTAACCACCAA